ACATTAGTTTCAGAGGAATTCAGTAGTGGTTGTCCTGGTGGAATTGATAATCTGCCGAATCGTTCTTTTGGATTGCAATTCAGAAGTATTTGTTCAATGCTCTCGAGGGAATACACTACTTTTAAGAATCTTACCTTTCAAAAAAAATAATAATAATAATTCTAACACAAAATAATAAAAGAAGGAAAGTGTCCAAAATATATAATATAGCTAAGTATATTTGATTAAAGTGTTAAGAAAGAGAGATACATGTCACTTTTGTGAAATTCTAAGAGTTGTAACTTTTAATTATTCAACTTCAAACTTAAACATTTAAAAAGTATTAACATATTTGCTCAGGAATACTTAGCATCTAACAAATATATTAACAAAAAATAAAATAAAAAATGATAGAAGTTCATAGAAAGTTTTTGTTAAATTAATATAAGAAATCAGTCGTATGATTGCAACATTCAAAATTGAAAAAGCAAAAATAATGGTTTTACATGAAATTTTCTATTAACAAAGTTAATTCTGTTTAATTTCCTCATACACCACCCAATTGCCTTTTCTGATGTTTTTAAAATTCCTTTACCGTACAATTTCTACTTCTCTTACCTTTCAAAAAAATAAATAGACCTTTCACCCAATCTGATTCCACGATGAACCTTACTATTTGTAATTGTCATAGGCTTTTGTTTGTGGTGTTCACAGATGGCGAGTTAGAAAAATAAAGAATAAATAAATAAACGCCACCTATTAGTATGTCAAATATAAATAAGAAATTTAACAAAACAAACCTTTTAAAGACTTGCTTTAAATAAAAAGTTAAGAGAAATTAATACAATAAGGAGTGATATAGTTGCAACATTCAGAATGGAAAAGGCAAAAATAAGGGTTGATAGCTCTTGCCACCAATCTTAATTCAATTTGAGCAAAGAATTGGGCATCACTCAATTGCCCTTTACCAAATAATTTTCACTTATCCTACCTTTCAAAAAATACAAAAAATTCCTTCAAAAAAAAAGTTCCACTTCTCAAGCCTTCTTTCCTTATGCATGGCATAATCATACAAAAAGAAATTTAAAAAAAAAAAAAAAAAAAATCAAAATATGTTGAAAATATATATATATATATATATATATATATATATATAACAAAACAAACCGAAACCTTGCTTCAATATTTTTCCTCTACTCTACTTTCCCCTCTCATCCTCCAAACAATCATTTCCGGTGCTTTTTGATATCTTTAGAACTACTTTACCAAGCAATTTTCACTTATCTTACCTTTCAAAAAATAAAAATATACCTTAAAATAAAATTTCCACTTCTCAAGCCTTCTTTCCTTATGGATGACATGATCATACAAAAGGGAAATAAAAAAAAAAAATCAAAATATGTTCAATCTTACCTTTCAAAAAATAAAAATATATACCTTCAAAAAAAAATTTCTACTTCTTAGGCCTTCTTTCCTTTTGGATGACATGATCATACAAAAAAGAAATTAAATTTTTTTAAAAAAAATCAGAATATGTTGAAAAAAAAAAAAAAATTAACAAAACAAACCTTCTGAAGCCTTTCTTCAATATTTTCCCTCTACTCTACTTTCCCCTCTCAACAATCATCTACAGTGTAATTAAGTTTAATTCAATATTCTGACCAAAACAAGAACACATAACAAAATGATAATCTCTATGACAATTTAACAAAATGAAATAGTGATTTTTAATCCATAAAAAAAATAAAAATAATAATAAAAAAAAAAGTTTAATAAAGCAAGCATTCTCAAGCCATGCTTTAATATTTTTCCTCTACTCTACTTTCCCTTCTCATCCTCCAAACAATCATGCAGTGCAATAAAGTTTAATTCAATATTTTGACCAAAACAAGAAGGCATAACAAGATGATCAATCTCCATGAGAATTCATCAAAATGAAATTTTGATTTTTAATCTATGAAAAAAATAATAAACACATCTACACCAAACTCACAAATAAATAAATAAATTTATAACAAATACTAATGAAAGAGAGGGGATGTCCAAAATATATAATGTAGCAGAGTATATTTTGCTATGAGAGAGAGAGAGAGAGAGAGAGAGAGAGATATATATATATATATATATATATATATATATATATAACTATTGGGCAATTAAAACACTTAAAGGTTGACTATTCAACTACCAACTAAGGAAAAAAAAAAAAAACTCCCAATTTTTTTAATACAATTATACTGTGCACTTTCTTGAGCAATTAAAAAAGTTGTAATTGTTAACTATTCAACTCCCAACTTTTTTAATACAATTATAATGTACATTTTTTTTCATTAGAATAGTATGTAGATGATATAAATTGAAATTAACCTTTTTACTCTGGCACTCTTTTTTCATTAGAATAGTATGTAGATGATATAAATTGAAATTAACTTTTTTACTCCGGCACATTAATGTAAATGAGGTATGAATAACTAGGTCTAGTTAATTAGACATTTTATGAAGAAAAAAACAATTAAAAATATTAAAAATTTCTTACACTTTTAGAATAGTATATATAGATATATATGTATATATTTATACTGTTAGAGCATCTCCAATCGTTATGTATATTTTTTTTTGTAAATCTGATGTGTCATAATAGATTTACACAAAAAAATTGAATTATTTATTTTTAGCTCCAGCGATTGTTTTATACTTTTTGTGTAAAAATATATTCCCCAATAATAATTCACCATTGTCATGTCTGAACCCCACATAATTTTTACAAACTTATTTAATATATGGTTGATTTGTTAGTGGAATAAGAAGAAGAAGGAAAAAAGAAATATGTTGATGTAGTTGTGTAAAAGGGTTACGTAAAATACACAGCAATTTAACACATTGATGATGTGACAATGTATCTTAACAGATTACCGAAAATAAAAAATAAAAAATTATATATTATACATGACCGTGTATATTTTACACCATAGTATTTTAACAAACTAAAAATACTCTTTAGATTTTAATATTATTATTGTTTGGAGGCTTTTAATTTGATCAAGTATAGTAGATATGCGCATGTGCTTGCCAGGATTAGTCACAGTCAGCATGGTCAATTTTGTAAAGCATTTTTTTTCTTGCCATGCACACGCAAATTGGTTGCTGGCCCAGCTTTTGATTTCAATTCTTATTGATTTGTTCCTCCGTTAGAAATTGGGTATGATATTTGTACTACCTTTGACTTTTCATTTAGATTTTAATATTGTTACTGTTTGGAGGCTTTTAATTTGATCAAGTATAATTATGCTTATGTGCTTGCCAGGATTCGGACCGAGCATTATAGGTAATTCGATAATCTAATGAATCATTAGTTAATCAATCTATATTCAATTATTTCGTTTATTTAATGTTTGATCCGATTATTTTGTTATATCCTCCTACGCAAATCAAAGAAATTAGAGGACAACAAAAACAATTAGCATTGCAAAATAACTTGAGGGAAAAAAGGTGAGAGAAAACCTGAAGATGAATAAAAGGGAGTTAAATAAGTTTTTTGTACCCTTTGTTCAGGAGCTAAAAAAATCTAGGTCTTGTAGGAACAATTCCTTAATGGTAATTGTAGAGCTTGTAAAAAGGAAGAAGAAGAGGGGAAAAGAGAGAAAATACTGCACACATCAAATAAATTAAGGATCAAGAAAAACAATTAGAATCGTGAAAAAAACTTGTGGGTAAAAGAGAAAAAGAAAATCTGAAGATGATTTTCGTAAAAATAAAAAAAAGAGTTCAAACCAAGAAAAGAACATAAAAAAAATAATAATAATAATAAAATAAAAAAGAGTTTGAATAGGTTTTTGTACCCTTTCTTCAGTAAGAGCATGGCAATTTTAGGGCTTGTAAGAAGAAAGAAGATGGAAAAATAAATAAATAAAAATTAGGACTTGTAAGAATAACACAAATTAGGATTCATATCAAAATTCGATCCATCAACAACAAATAAGATATTAATGTATTTTGGTGGCTAGGCTTGTGTTTTGCCTTTGCCACTCCTAGCTTTTGCTACGCGCAGCGTTTGGATGGGTTTTTATTCCTTATTTCATATCTCTCAAAAAAAATAAGAAGATAGGAATATAAATGTTAGTATTTAAATAGTATTTTCATAACTTTGAAACTGTTCTCAACAACTAAAAAAAAAAAAAAATTATTATTTCACTCATATCCCTTGTAGTTAAAAAAAATATGATAATAATTTGATTTTAATCATTTTTCTTCAAACAAAAATAATATCATTTCTTTTATTTTCTCTTCCATGAGTCCAAATATAAATTAAAATTATTATTATCCTTTCATTTCATATCTTTTTCTTTTAATTTTTTTCATGACTAATATTATTATTTCTTTTACTCGGATATATCTTAGTGTTATCAATTGACAATGATTATCAAATTCAATTTCACTTAGTGTTATCAATTGACAATGATTATCAAATTCAATTTCACGGACACTCAGCCAGAAGAAGTGCACATGGCAAGTCCACTTCCATCACTCATCACTCTTCTTATCTTCTTGCCGTCCCCTTTGGTTGTGTCGCGAAATTTCACAGTCTTCCCTGATGTTGACTAGGTCGTTGCCGTATTAGATAATGTTTTAATGCAACGTGGCTCTCCTAATTACTCTCCAAAGAAAAAACCGGAATCTCTTATTTCGAGGATAAGGAAAAAAATGCACATATGACTTGACTTTGGCACAGTCCAAGTCTAGTTCCTGCTGTGAGACCGTGAAGCATATACATTCTTACATATATATATATATCAGGTCACTGATGGTAAACGTAACATCCCAATTTTTAACTCCAAAAATAGACACTTTGCATAATTAATGACAATTTTTTCAAGTTTTGTTCCTCCATTATTGAATTAAGAAAATACTTATTCATATACAGTACGATACAAATCTCCCACGCTTGACGCTTATCGTCACTTCTATAAGTTAAGAGGCATCACACAGCATGTGGTAATCAAGTAGACTCAATGGTTATGGCAATGGAGTACTCTTTATTGACAATCATCTCCTCACAAAGGAGGTATCAACTTACATGCTTTAATGCTTTCTGGCTTCTCTTTCTCTTCACTGTCCTCTCCACAATCTCTGTCTCATCTTCTACAACTCCACCCTCTTACTCTGATCACTGTGATTCAATTGTTCCCAAGTCCACCCCAACCGATCCCGACTACACCACCTTGCCACATCTCCTCCGTATACCCAACGGTCGCTACACTGGTGGTGACAAAATTCTTGTTAACACCTCGTCTGATCAATTCTACTTTGATTACGACAAGTATCTCTCCTTTACCACCCGAAAAGTTTATAAAACCAAAGCCAGTGATGTTTATAATATTGAGGCCTACTTGACCTTTTCCCAATCTTACTATTCTAATTATCGTTCTCGGAGAGGTGCACTGAAATTCCTATTGAATGGATTCTGGTCTGAATCTTCTGGGAAGCTTTGTATGCTGGGCTCGGCATCTTGGCACTCAAGAGAAGGTAACTCTCTTGAACTTGACGCTGTTCTTGAGCTTAATTTTGCGAAGAATGCAACTATCTTAACTAGTTTGGTTAATGGAACATTGGAGAGCTTGAGTTCTTCTGATGATTTGAATTACTTTGATCCAATTTCAATATTGGCTTTCCCTTCCATGAGTTACTACAATTACACATTGGTTTCGAAGGAATTAGATAGTGGGTTCCCTGGTGGAATTGATATTCCACAGAATCCCTCTCTTGGATTGCAACCGGGAAGTATATGTTCAACGCTCTCCGGGCACCAAATTAAGGTATTTAGAGCCGGCCATATACATGCTATGAGTTATTGTCCCACTTGAAAAACACCAAGGTCGCACATAGCTCAGATCGGGTTAACTAGGCGGTAATAGTAATCACAATGAAGGTCAAAGTCCTTGTGTGTTTCGCGAAGTTTTCTTTTAACCGTCTTGGTTCTTCTCTTACCGACAGAAAGATAACAGTAGACCTTACATTTTTCTCTCTGTTGTTGCTTGGCATATCATATTATTCTGCTAACTTTTGGTACTAGTTCCACATTAGTTGGAAACAACTTACAAGTCCTATTATATCAATAAAGTCTAGGCATGTTATTTGGATTAATGATTTAGGATGCCATGCACGAATGAAGGTGAAAGTCCTTGTGTGTATGTGCGCGTGTTTTGCCTGTTTTCTTTTAGATTGTCTTGCCTCTTCTTTCCGTTTATATGACACTGATACAGACAAAAAGCTTCTTCATCCCTTCTCATAACTCTTTGGAATGAAGAAAGAAGACTCTTGTCAGTAAGATCAGCGATGAAGACTGAATTTCTGGATCTGCAACAGGAGGATATGACTGTGGCTGAGTATGAACAGAAGTTCATTAATTTGTCATTATTTGCACTAGAGGAGGTCAATACGGAAGAAAAGAAGAGAGACCGCTTTGTGAAAGGGTTGATATGGCCGATTAAAGTGGTGATCATAGGTAGTCCTGCATATACTACTTATATCCAGGTGGTTAATGCCGCTTTACAGCACTGCCAGATGAGGAGTGATTACCGGAAGTCCAAGGGAGATAAGCGGGCTAACCGAGACTACCAGACAGTGGAGAAAGGAAGCAGCAGTGGTGCCAAGTCCAATGATCGGGGCAGATTTCAAGGACATCAACCTTGGAAGAAAAACAAAGGAAACCCAGATGTGCAGAGGGATGGAGTCCCTAATCAGGGTAGACAAGGTGGGATACCTCAGACCGGACAAGAACAGTGGTCGGGAAGTCAACAGAGGAGGCAGGCAGGTCCTTTTACGGGACGTTGTTATCACTGTAGAGAGATTGGGCATCCGGCCAAGATGTGTCCCAAAGCTAAGCAGGGACAGTATGGGCAGCCGAGACCTAATCAGCCGTTACCTCTACCGGCCCCACCGATGCCACGTGGGCAAGTTCAAAATGTTCCGGCACTTCCAGCACCACCATTTCCTCCGGGACAACCTCCACAGCAGTTGCATCATGGCAGAGTTTATAACTTCATGCCACATAATGCGCAGGCTCCTCAGGCTATTGAGGGTATGTTTTCTATACATGGTAGAACTGCTCGTATACTGTTTGACACGGGTGCATCACATTCTTTTGTGTCTAGATCTTTTGTTATCTTATCTGGTATGACGACTCAGTTATGTGACCAACCTCTTAATATTTATACACCATTGGGAGTTGGCGCAATTTTACGAGAGCGTAGCGGTGATATCCTTATAGATATGGGCCGGCTTCGATTTCTTGCAAATTTGTTAGTGTTAGATATGCATTCGTATGATGTTATACTTGGGATGGACTGGTTATCTCAGTACCATGCTCAGGTTAACTGTTACGAAAAGTCTATTGTATTTTCTATACCAGGACAGGAGATGTATCTTCTTGTTGTACCACAACCTGATAGAGGGCTTAGCACTTATTTATTCGTTCTTGAGGAGGACTCACAGGAAGCGGCTGCGGTATCTCTTGACAGCATCCCGGTAGTACAGGAATTCCAGGATGTATTCCAGGAAATTCCAGGCTTGCCACCGAGTCGAGAGATAGACTTTGTCATTGATTTAGCTCCAGGCACTACGCCTATTGCTAAGGCGCCGTACCGAATGGCACCAGTGGAGATGCGAGAGTTGAAAGATCAAATTCAACAGTTGCTCAGCCAGGGATTTATTCGCAGGAGTACTTCACCATGGGGAGCACCAGTACTGTTTGTAAAGAAGAAGGATGGATCTCTTCGTCTTTATATTGATTACAGAGAACTGAACAAGGTCACTGTTCGCAACAAGTACCCGTTGCCCAGAATTGATGACCTGTTTGATCAGTTGAAGGGAGCTACTTACTTCTCAAAGATCGATTTGAGGTCTGGTTATCATCAGCTACGAGTCAGAGAACAAGATGTTCCAAAGACAGCATTTCTCACAAGGTACGGATCTTATGAGTTTCGTGTTATGCCCTTCGGTTTAACGAACGCTCCAGCTGTCTTTATGGACTTGATGAATAGAGTATTCAGAGAATACTTAGATCAGTTTGTCATTGTTTTCATTGATGATATTCTGGTTTACTCTAAGTCGGAGAAGGACCATGCCAAACATTTACGCACAGTATTGCAGACACTTCGAGAACATCAGTTGTTTGCGAAGTTTGAGAAGTGTGAATTTTGGCAGAAAGAGGTCAAATTTCTGGGACATGTAGTGTCAGAAGAAGGGTTAGCAGTAGATCCAGCCAAGGTTGCGGCCGTTATGGAGTGGGGACAGCCTACCTCACCGACAGAGATTCGCAGTTTTCTGGGATTGGCAGGGTATTATCGCAGGTTCATCCAGGGATTTTCTAAAATTGCGGGTCCACTTACTCATCTGACTAAGAAGAATGTACCATTTGTATAGGATGATTCTTGTCAGACTGCTTATGCTGAGTTGAAAAGTAAGTTAACTTCTGCACCTGTCTTAGCCACACCTCAGAGTGGAATCGAGTATTTAGTATTTACCGACGCTTCTTTGAAGGGTTTGGGTTGTGTGTTGATGCAAGAAGAGCGACCAGTTTCTTATGGGTCTAGGAAGCTTAAGCCTCATGAGCTTAAATACCCGACTCATGATCTAGAGCTCGCAGTAGTGGTTTTTGCCTTGCGTATTTGGAGACATTATCTTTTGGGGGAGACTTTTCGATTGTTTAGTGATCATAAAAGTCTACAGTATTTGTTCACACAGAGGGAACTGAATATGAGACAGCGCAGATGGTTGGAGTTCGTGAAAGACTATCATTTCTCTATTCAGTATCATCCAGGGAAAGCGAATGTTGTAGCAGACGCACTCAGCCGCCGACCCTATGTCAGCCTTTCAGCTTTGTTTGCAACAGAGTGGGATGCTTTGAAGACTGTTGATGAGTTAGCAGACGCTTTTATGGCATGTGTGGTAGTAACTCCTTCTATCATTCATCAGGTCATTCAAGCGCAACTCTCAGATCAACAGTGTATTGATCGGGTTTCGGAATTAGCCTCCGGAGATGTTCCTTTTTATTCTATAGGGACTGATGGAGGATTGAGGTACAAGGGACGTTTAATTGTGCCTTCAGCTGACAATTTGAGAAATGTTGTGATGAGAGAGACACACACTTCTCAGTTCTCTGTACATCCAGGGGGAGACAAGATGTATCAGGACATGAAACGCCAGTTTTGGTGGGCCGGCATGAAAAGAGATATAGTTATCTTTGTCTCTAAATGTAGCACCTGTCAGATGATTAAGATTGATCATCAGAGACCGCCAGGATTGTTACAGCCACTTCCCATACCAGAGTGGAAATGGGAGAGTATTTCCATGGACTTCATAGAGGGATTACCTACTTCACAGCAAAATCACAACTCTATTTGGGTCATTGTTGATAGATTGACCAAGACCGCTCACTTTCTGCCTGTTTGGTCAAACTTTACGTCAGAACAGTATGCTAAGCTGTATATTGCAGAAATGGTGAAACTTCATGGCGTACCATTGTCCATCGTATCAGATAGAGATCCGAAGTTTGTATCAGGATTTTGGAGGAGCTTTCAGCAGGCTTTGGGTACAGAACTTTATCTTAGCACTGCTTATCATCCTCAAACAGATGGACAGACTGAGCGAGTTAATCAGATTTTAGAAGACATGTTGCGGGCATGTGTTCTTGATTTTAAGGGCAATTGGGAGGAATATTTGCCGCTTTCAGAGTTTGCTTATAACAATAGTTATCAGAAAACTATTGGTATGGCACCATTTGAGGCTTTGTACGGTAGACCGTGTAGGTCTCCTGTCTGTTGGCTTGGAGTTGGTGAGAACAGCTTTTTGGGTCCTGAATTTATTAAGGACACGTCAGAAAAGATCGCTATCATTAGGGATCGGATGCGTACAGCTCAAAGCAGACAGAAAAGTTATGCTGACCGTCGAACTCGTGCTTTGGAGTTTAAGGTTGGTGATCAGGTTTTGCTTAAGGTTTCTCCTATGAAGGGAGTAATGCGGTTTGGGTCAAAGGGTAAGTTATCGCCTCGGTTTGTGGGTCCTTTTATGATTACAGATCGGATTGGGGCAGTAGCTTATCGTCTGGCTCTACCAGATAATCTTCATAGGGTACATAATGTTTTTCATGTATCCATGCTGCGGAAATTTCTACGGGAAGAAGATCGATATCAACACATTGATGTGGGTGAGATTGAGTTGCAACCCGATGCAACCTATTTGGAACAACCTTACTGTATTCTCGATCGTAGGAATCAGATACTGCGCACGAAGACTATTCCATTAGTATGTGTACAGTGGAGTCATCATAGTGCTACAGAGTCTACTTGGGAACGGGAAGATATTATCCGTGCCAAGTATCCAGAGCTTTTTAATACAGGTATGTAGTGAATTTCGGGGACGAAATTCCGTTATTAGGGGGGGAGAATGTAATACCCCGTATTTTATTTCAGAGTTTAGTTTATTTAAAAAATTCATTTATGTGAGGATTTCTTTACTTATTATTGTGCATGCTACATTATTATATTAAGTTCATTTAAATGTGCATGTAAATTAATAGTGTATGTTAAAATAGTAAATTTATTCATTTAATTATGCATGTATTATTATTAATAAATTTATTTGTTGGTTATGCTTATATTAATCATTATTAGTTAATTAAAGTATTATATTTGTATTATAAAGTATTATAATGATATAATGTATTCTTATGTAATAATAATAATAATAATAAAAGTTTAATAATAATAATAATAGTTTAATAATAATAATAATAATAATAATAATAAAATAATAATAATAATTATAAAAGTTTATTAATAATAATAATAGTTATAATAATAATAATAGTATTAAACCAATGTCATGATGAAATTAGAGATTAGGATAGGATTTCATCAATGTTTATGGGTGGACTTGAAGCCTTATGGTTGGGAAGGTGGTTAGTAAATGTAAAAATTAGATATTTGTAATATTTATATTATATAATTTGTATATAAATTAGCTAGCCTACCTTAGAAGGAAAGAAAGGGAGTTAGAAACAAATTATAAATTCTAGTGAGCCATTGTAAAAGTGTGGAAAGGAAGAGAGAGAAAGAAAGGAGCTTGGACCGGTGTAGGGAATTTACCCGACTACGCGCAACCGGCGGATTTATTTTAAATCCAAAAAGGCAAGTTATTATCTACTTTTCCCCTTTGAATCCATAAATTATTCATTTAATTTATTTCGGGTTTTTTTAGAGACTAGAAACCATGCTAGGAGTTTCAATAAATTATTTTTAGTTTATTAAAATAATGTGTTTTAATTATTAAAGAGGTTAGTTATTTATTTATTAGCCTATGTAATTAAAATATAGCTGAAAATAATTAAATAGGGCTTTAGGGATTTTTCTAGAATTTTCTAGATTTTTCCGCGGCTTTTCTGCAATTTTCGGCGAGCCTCCGGCGAGGATTCCGGCCACCGGCAGTGAAGAAGATGACCGGAGTGATCCGGTGTGCTGCGGCGCATGGTAGGTTAGTGCGCGCGTGCATCCTGGCCATTGGTAGAGTCTGATTGATCCGGTGCATTGCAGTCCATGATACTGCAGTACACCCGGATCAAGAACCTTTGGATTAAGTAGATTAATCCAATGCAGCATGCCCACGGAGAATCGGTACAACAGACCAACCAGCACACGCCACGTCAACAGGAACCATTAGTGCACGCGTGGCAGCGCGTGCGCGCGCGTGGCTGATGCCAGACGCGCGTGGAGGCGCGTAGGAGGTTCTAGACGCGCGTGAAGGCGCGTGTAAGCGCGTGCGCGTGTGAGAAAAGTGGCGGTGCGTGTGGGAGGCTCTGGGAGGCGCGTGAGGGCGCGTGTGGGGTCTCTACAGCTACTGGAAAAGTCCAGAATACCCCTAGGGACTGTTTTGTAAACTCCAGAACCTTAAACTTGGATTTTTAGGTACTGTGTTGGTATTTACGGGTTTAACGGGCCACGAAATTATTATTTTAATACCCGTTACTTATTCTTATGGCCGATTAATCTTTTCTAAGCATTTATTGGCTCGTTTACAGTACGGATACTAATGTGATTTATTTAACGACATTGTTAAATATAAATAGTGTTACTATCTTATTAAATGGTATCAAACATTACTGTTAAATTAAATAATGCCATGGTTTTAGTCAGATAAATTATCCATGATATCTTATGGGATGTTTATACTGTTAAATGATATATAAACCATGATTATTATGCTGTGTGCATTTCCGGAAATAAATGGACTGTTTAATTATGTAGCATTTATATTATATGGATGTGTTGCCATATAGAACCATGTGAGCGGGCTAATAAGTTTAGACTCATTTATACCTTATGCATTCGTTGCTATAGACAGATGTGTGGCTGTCGGGGTATGTGGTTTAATATTATTGGCATGTGTTGCCTAATGGACATGCTCAGTATATTTAGCAATATTATTGGCATGTGTTGCCTAATTTGTATGCTCAGTATATTCATCAGTACTTTGAGAGGTGTTATCACTGTGTAGTTCGTTATAGTCTGTGTTGTCAGTATCGTGCACCATGTATAATAGCTGATTTCCCGGGTAGGGAAAGGCGACACTTAACCACCTAGTGTGAGTCTAAGTGATCACCGTCTATTCTGGTTGAGGTCATGTTATACATTGGATGGTTCCCTTAGGATGTATACAGATATAGTACTCATCCGGATATAAATGATTAATTTATTTGATTCTCTGATTTGGGTCATAGTAGAGAGGACTTGCTCGTGGGGTTGACCCACCATTGTTGTTATTTCAGGATACGGTCAGTACCCGTTCCAAGGTTGAGGTTAGCAGTGTGGGACCACCATCCGAACTCATCTACTCTTACGATCCAGTTCAGGGTAGAAGTTTTATGTATTACTTCAGTTTCAGTTTTTATTTACTTTTGACGTTGAACTCTCAGGGTTATATTTAGGGATCCTTGACATAGGATTTCCAAGTTGTAACGAAGTACTGTATTAAATAAAGGATGGATGGATGTTGTATTATTTAGTGTTCCTTTCTTGTCTAAATTCTTTTATTATCATCATTTTGTATTCCATGCTTGTATATTGCCAATTGTTTTTGATATCCCTCGTTTTTCGTGTATAAGCCTGATCAACTTATGCGTGGAAAATGTGGGGGTGTTGCATACAAGCTCATCATCTTAAGACAGACGACTTTCAGAAAAAGCCTTAATGTGTGCCTCCATCTCTAAATCAAATAAATCAGTCTCGAAATCAAAGTTGTGAAAAAATGTCTCAATCTGCTACAGGTCTTGGTCTTGTACTGTATCACAAGAGTTTATTGTACTGATATCATCGTCATGTGGTGGCAGCATCGGATGAATATCGGAAGACGTTGCAGTAGTAGTTGCATCAAAATTGTCAACAAATGAGTGTATTTGCTGCAGGCCTTCTATTGTACAACAACAGTTGATATTGGGCAGATCAAAGAGTCTTGCAGTCTCATCATAGTAAGCTGGAAGAGGCTGAAAATTGGAGTACGTTCCAAGCGGAGTCTTTTATGGAGGAGTACTTGCAGAGGCCTCATCATGATCATATCGTATTTTTTTCTTCTTTCGATTAGGGTTTTCTTCTTTGGATACCTCACAAACATGCTTTGGTGCTCTCCTCAGATATTTAGAAGCATCTTTTTTGATCCTGCAAACAATATAATCTTGATCAGTACCTTCTTCTAGTCCATCCAAACTCACACCGCCCAGCGAATACTCATGCATAGTCTAATAACCTCTTGGCATGATCGACCATGCATCTTTCTTGATATTTGCTTCAAACGCCAACATTTTCTTGAAACCAAGAAGCTGTTTGTGCCCATTATAAATTTCCTCGAGCTTGTTTTGGCCATCCCAAGTCCTATACCCGGCTCTCCTTACAGCTCTATTCTTATCGCTAATTTTCTTCAACTTGGTAAAGACGTAGACAACGAATTGACATTTGTTTTTGTTACTCGTATGCCATGGATTTTCCTTTTTTATATGTCCCAGGGAGTTTTGCCGTAAAGATCAATGTCCAACATTACACCTTTAGGCATGCTCTCTCGCTTCATTTTTCTGCTCAGGTAATGGATGATTTCAACTTCTATGGGGGCGAAGTGAAACCCTAGCGAAATTAAAAACATCTCGAGATCGGAAACAAAGGAATTTATTGAGAAAAAATGGGACACCTTCCAATTACAGAAAAAAAGAGGGAGGATGACAATGATTGAGGTGGTAGTTGTAGTGACTTGGTAAAAAAGTTGATTGAGAAAAAGTGGGACTTACAGAATTACGAAATATAAGAAGATAAAGAGGAGTGTGATCAGTTTGCAAATAACGAAAAAGATGAAAAGGAGCGTGATCGGTTTGCAAATACAAAGGAGATGATTCTAACAGTGCCAAACCGGCAAATCATGCATGTAAACTCATGCTTCCGCACTCCAAACCGCACCACCATACGCCTCAAATGGTAATCCCACTCTTCCATGAGCTTTCACGCGCACTAGCAGTAATCCCGCACCTCAACGTGTCGGATCAGCTCCGTCATCGCGCCACTACGCACCATTAGTGATCATCCCACGCGCCTACTATACAAAAGCAATGAACAATGAACAAAAGGAAAAACTAGTAACTACACATACACGCTCATCATCTTAAGATAGAAGACTTTAGGAAAAAGCCTTAATGCGTGCCTCTATCTCAGAATTAAAGAAATCAGTCTCGAAATCAAAGTTATCAAAAAAATGACTCAATCTGCAGCAGGTCTTGGTCTTGTACTGTATCGCAAGAGTTCATTGTACTGATATCATCGTCATGTGGTGGAAGCTGCCGCTGAATATCAGAATACGTTGCAGTAGTAGTTGCATCAAAATTGTCAAAAAATGAGTCTATTTGTTGCAGCCTTCTATTGTACAACAACAGTTGATGTTGGGCAGATCAAAGAGTCTTGCAGTCTCATCATAATAAGCTGGAAGAGGCTGAAAATTGGAATACGTTCCAAGCGGAGTCTTTTGTGGAGGAGTACTTGTAGAGGCCTCATCATGATCATATTGCATCTTTTTTCCTTCTTCCAACTAGGGTTTTCTTCTTTGGATGCCTCACGAACATGCTTTAGTGATCTCCTCATACATTTGGAATCATCTCTTTTGATCTTGCAAACAACATAATCTTGTTCAGTCCTTTCTTCTAGCCCATCCAAACTCACACCGCCCAGCGAATACTCATGTGTAGTCCAATGACCTCTTGGCATGATCGACCACGCATCTTTCTTGATATTTGCTTCAAAAGCCAACATTTTCTTGAAACCAACAAGCTGTTTATATCCATTATAAATTTGCTGGGGCTTGTTTTGGCCATCCCAAGTCCCACACCCGACTCTCCTTATAGCTCTCTTCTTATCGCCAATTTCTTCAACTTGGTGAAGACGTAAGTAACGAATTGACATTTATTCTTGCTACTCGTATGCCATGGATATTCCTTTTTATATGGAGCTTTACTGTAAAGATCAATGTCCAATATTACACCCTTAGGCATGCTCGACATGCTCTCTTGCTTCACTTTTCTACTCAGGTAATGGAGGATTTCAACTTCTGTTGGGGCGAAGTGAAACCTTAACGTAATTAAAAACTTCTTGTGATCGAAAACAGAGGAATTCATTAAGAAAAAACAAGACGTCTTCCAATTACAGAAGAAGAAGGAGGAGAAGAATGATTGAGGCGGTAGTTGTAGTGACTTGGGAAAATAGTTGAATGAGAAAAAAAGGGACTTACAGTGTTACGGAATACAAGAAGATGAAAAGGAGCGTGATTAGTTTGCAAATACAGAAGAAAAAAAAGACGACCACCACCGAGGAGCGTGATCAGTTTGCAAATACAGAAGAAGATGAAGAGGAGCATGATCAGTTTGTAAGTATAGAGGAGTGTGATCAGTTTGCAAATACGGAAGAGATGATTCTAACCGCGCCATACTAGCAAATCATGCTTGCAAAGTCACGCTTCTGCACTCCAAACCGCGCCACCGTGCGCCTTAAGTGGTAATCCCACTATTCCATGTACTTTCACACGCACCAGCGGTAATCCTACACCTCAACGTGTCGGATCAACTCCATCACCGCACCACCACGCGCCATCATTGGTCATCCCACGCCTCGCCCAAACGCCCACAAACGTCAAATCCACGCCGCGCCACGTGTCAGGCCACGTCAACATCACCGCGTCATTCATCCACGTCGCGCCACATGTCAGGCCACGTCATCACCGCCGCATCATTCTGCCACATCAGCAACAGTACCAGCAATAGTGCCACATCAACTGTCACGTCAGCTATTAATCGTGTTTCCATCTTCATCATGGGTAAAAACCTATCTTCACCAAATCGTTTCCACCATGCCGCTTTCAAGATTTCATTTCCAAAATCAGGATATTGAGGGGGTTGTTAGAATATATTGTATAATATATTATTACTATATTGTATAATATATGCTAACCTTGTATAGGATTACCATATATATATAGTTATCATATACATATAGGATTTACTTGTTAATCACACATAACCCTTCCTATATAAACATATTTTATATAAATATCATACACATCAATACATTATATAGTTATACTCTCTCTTTTATATCTAACAGTTACAAATAGTAAAAAAATGAACGAAAACGCATGGGAAGCGTAAGAGCAAAAGTGCATAACATGAAAGTGGTTCTTAATTGTGTGCCTTAGATTATACCATTGTTTAGGGGTAAAGAAGTTTGATCAGTTGGTGACATTACCCTTGCTGGCCCAATATTACGGCAATGAAGATGAATTTCTTACCGTCCGATCTAATATCCAGTGTCAAAGCTGATATGTGAAAGGACAAATTTCACAACAAATAAAAAATGGAATCTAAGTTGGTGCACTGAAACCAAGTGTGGACATAGAAGAAAATGGCTCTTGTTGATTTTTAATGCACACCCAAAATAAGCTTAGGATTAATTGCAAACAAATCCAACTCTTAATAAAAAGAGAACTCGTTAGTTAAGTAAATAAATTGAGTGTCAGTTTAACTATGAGTTTTGTTTATTAAACTTTTGTGAATTTTTTTTAAATATTAGAAATTATATTTAAGTGATGTTTGTTAGTGATAGAGGTTCAACTCATATAGGCTCAAATGTGATGACGAAAACATATTAGATTATATAAACCATAAATAAGAATAAAAGTTTGAAAATTTCGATAATTATATGATGCTTGGGAGAACCTAACATCAGCTTCGTTGACTACAAAAATGTATATATATATATACATATATTTTACTGTAAATGATTACAAATTGGACCGAGTTGTTATCTTATGTGGACTAGTAAATAGAAATGATGTGCAGAACATAAACACGGCCTGGTCAAAATTCAAGTGGATTATGTGAAGCCCAGTGAGGCCCAAATAATTTCTTATGGGTATAGGGCTTTTCAGATTTTCCCGAATAGAAAATCGTGGTTGACTTGGGTTTGACCATTTCTAAGATGGGTGTTTTTTCAAAAAAATATTATACTCGGATTCCGTTTGTTTCGAAATAAAATATTTTTTTCAAAAAATAATATTTTTTAAGTAAAATATATTTTTTTATTTTAAATTTTCTGTGTTTGGCAAAGGTCGAATCTATCGGATATGACGTGTAAAATAGTTTATCGAAAATTGATGAATAAATTATTTTTGTTAGGTTTTAATATATTTTTTTCTTCGTAAATATTTTACGACAACCATACGCCAAAAACACGGAAAACATTTTTCAAAAAATATTTTACGCTCAAACAAACAGAGCTCAAATATAATTTCTGTTGATGAAAATTTTTTTACAAAGTGAAATTATAGTGTATATATGCTTAACTTGCCGGGAAAAAAAGTGTACATATATATATTTAACCGTGGAAAATTAAATTAAAGGTTAATTTTGCCTTTTATAGTTATATGGTATATGGTAAATTCACTTGCTATATATATATATATACACTGTGGCATATTCATACAAAAATGAAGTCAGGGACCTTTTTCACAGTCATATGAAGTTAAAATTTCAAATTTTAAATAAGTAAATTCTTCAAAATTGCTGAGGTAAACATGAACAAATACTATGCATTGTCATTTTTACATGGATTTTTTTTCTTTTTTCTTTTCTTAATTGGTACTCACATAGGGACATAGTTGTTAAAGGTGCCGGAGGCGCGCGCCTGTGGCGCAAGGCGCCTCCAAGCGCCACCATGTCGCCTCCAATGGCTTAAGGCACTGGGTTGAATAGGGCGGCCGCCTTTGTATAACAGGCACAAGGCCACAGGCGCACAGAAAGCGCACCTCTTGAAAAAGGGAACTTTTTTTTATAGTTGTTTTGTTATTTTTTCGGTTTTGTATTGTTTATTATTTGTTTATTATTACTTTTTATTTGTTTATTACACAACTTACGAGTTACAAAACGAAAAAATAAAAAGAAAACCAAAAGCAAAAGTGGAAAGAGACAGATCTGCCGGTAGCGAAGGCGATATCTGCGAAGCTCTCGGATCTACCGGCTCTCTCAGTCTCGGTCCTCTCGGATCTGCCGGTCAGTTCTCCTTCTCTCTCTCCTTTCCTCCTCTCCTCTTTCTCTCTCTTCTTCTTCTCTCTTCTCTTCTCACCGAATCTCTGTCAGATTTTTTTTTTTTACTCTCTTCTTCTTCCTTCTCTCGTTAGAATGTCAAATTTTTTTTATCTTTTTTTTTTTTTTTTTCTTCTTCTTCTTCTTCCTTCTCTCGTCAGATGTCAGATTTTTTTTTCTTTTTTTTTCTTCTTCTTCTTCTTCCTTCTCTCGTCAGAATGTCAGAATTTTTTTTTCTTTTTTCTTCTTCTTCTTCTTCTTCTTCTTCTTCTTCTTCTCCCGGCTCTCTCTTCTTTCAGTTCTTCTTCTCTCGGTCTCTCTTCTTTCAGTTCTTTGAGTTCTTTCCTTTTGCTTTTGGCAGATTTTTTTAATTTATTTTTATGCTTGTCTAGAATCTGGATGATGTTGGTCCTCTGTTTTTCTGAGGGCTTTTTTTTTTTTTTTTTTTTTTCTTCTTCTTCTTCTTCTTCCTCTCTCGGCTCTCTCTTCTTTCAGTTCTTTGAGTTCTTTCCTTTTGCTTTTGGCAGATTTTTTTAATTTATTTTTATGCTTGTCTAGAATCTGGATGATGTTGGTCCTCTGTTTTTTTGAGGGTTTTTGCGTAGTTGTTGTTTCTGTAGATTAGTGCCTTACTGCCTTGCATGTGTTTGGTGATGCCCCTGATTGATTTTGTTTACTCCTTATTAAAACAGATTAAAACAGATAATAGAGATATACCTAATCAATCAATCATGGTGCTTATAGAAAATTAGATTGATTTGATTTGAAAATATAGCACATCCTTGATCCTTATGGTTTTTGCAAGATAAATTCATAATTTCTATTTAATGCATCCAAACATGGTGCTTGCAACTTGCAAAAATGTTTTATTCTTGCTTAATTAGTGCTTAATGAAAATTAGATTTGATTTAAAAGTAGTAATAGCACATCCATGTGATTTTTGCAAGATGAACTCAAATTTTCTAGCATCCAAACATTATTGCAATCTTTATATATACTATTGCATCTTTAATACTTTATTGGGTGGGTTTTTTTTTTTTTTTTTAACGTGCACCTTACTTCAGTCGGGCGCGCACCACGCCTTGAGCCTTGCGCCTCAGGCTCCAGGAGGCATTTGCGCTTTTGTGCGCCTTGAGCCTTTAACAACTATGCATAGGGATGGCAAAATACCTCGCCCTGTCGGGGTACCCGCCCCACCCCATCCCGTTTAGAATGATTATAGGAGTGGTTAAAATGATTTTGGGGTGGGGATGGGAAAAAGTCACCTCGCCTCGTCCCACCCCATTTATAGTAGTAAATTATAATTTTGTGTTTATACTTTATTTTAGAGGTTTTTATAGTATAATTCCATAATTTTATATAAGTTTTGACATTAGACCCTTTTAAAAAATATATTAGAGATTGATCATATTTTTGTACATTTCAGTTAACTAACAATGAGAGAAAAGATCCAAGGTACCTTTGGCGTGTTAACTTTAAAAGTGCATTTTTCTACAAAATTAGCTTCCCTAGCCACCATCAAAACCTACCACCCTCTTTCTCTCTCTCCCTTTTTTTTTTTTATTTTTTTTTTTATGGTAAAACAAACACACACACTTTTTTCCCCCACGCCGGGGCTCGAACCCCTCCCCTCTTCTTTAAAGATGGGGAGGTTGTACCATTGGGCCAAAGGCCCTTTGGTCTCTTTCTCCCTATTTTGTTTCTACGCCATCGTTTCTTATCATGGTTACAAACAATTGTTATTTATAATCTATGAAAAATTAAAATGGTTGTCAAGAAATTGGCCGCAACTTGTTCTCATTTAGGGGACATTCACAATTTCAAAGTGCAATCTTCAATCAGGTTTTGACTTATGCAATCTTGAAATTTTTCACATTGTGAGATCCTTGGTATTAGTTCTCCAAATTGATCTTTTATTTTATTTTTTTTATATTTTCCGTTAAGTTGTTTCCTGTTTCAAGGGCCTCCTTAGATCCTTGGCGTTAGTTCTCCAATTTGATCCTTGAATTTTTTTTTTATTTTCTGTTAGGTTGTTTCTTATTTCAGGGGACTCGTTTGACCCGTGTTTTGTTTGATCAATGCCTTGTACTTTAATGGCATAAATAAAAAATAAACATAAAATTGACTTTCATTGAAACAATATATATATGGATTACTTCTGTATTTTTCACAATCCAACCAAATTTTTATTTCTATTACTGGAAAAGAGTTTTTATTTATATTGCTGGAAAAGTTCCTATACGAATAAAGAGGTGAGAGATAAAATCATGTCAAGATAGTTTAATCAAAGGGATAATTTTTGAATTTTATAATAATAATAATAAGAAGGACTCTTAATTGTAAGGGTGGTAAATTACATAACACGAGATAAGCGAGTTTGGGTTGACCTTAAACGGGTTCGAGTCATAAATGGGTTGATATGATTAACCAGTTTACTTAACCGTGTCGGGTTAGGGTTAAGATATTCAACCCATGTAACCTGTTTATACCCGTTTAACTCAACATATTATAATCGTGAATATGACATATGTAATATGTTACTTATTTAAACCCAACTACTATGCACAGTTAAGTCATTTTAACATAAACCTTGATTACGCCTTATGATTTTTCTTCTTATTTTGAATATTTGGGTTTAATTGTAACAATTTTTTCTAGTATTTATTATATGATTGAATATTTGTAATGACCCGGTCTTTTGCCTCCCTTTCCTTTTTTTGAAATTTTACGGATAAATTTTTTCCGTTTAATTCTCCTTTCTGAGTTTTGTTTCTCGTCGTTTAATGTCATCTCGAATGCACGGAAATGGTTTCTAAGACTCTTTCGTTTGGATTGACAACTTCTTTTGAGGACCGAGTCATTTCCCCATTTTTACTTTTCAGACACTACTCACTTTTTGTCTTTTTCCCTATTCTGTCTTTTCCCCGTTTGTCACTTTGTTGGCAAAACCTCACTTTTCATGCTCGGAGTTAGTTTTTGACTTCATGTGTCTTCATCCTTAGTGATTTTCACGAAATACGTATCTTTACTTTTGCAAGAAAGTACTCTGATTGCACCCAGTGCCAATAGGGGTATAGATGCATAGTTCTTTACAATTATTTTCTTTTCTTGGGGTGTTTTTCGTAAATATATTTTGAAAATATTTTATTTCAGGGGTATCTATGAAAATATTTTTGGAAGATATTTTCATTCTGGGGTATTAGTGCAGTTAACCCTTTTTGGAGGGGTCATTGTGCAATTAACCAAAGTTATTGCAAAAATACCTTGTTTGGAGCCTGCATCCTCGTACGGGATTCATTTTCATATTTCGTCGAGTCGTGTACTCTTAGAATTCCGTTCTGGTCATTTTTCTCCAGTTTCAGAATTTCTGGCCCTAGTTGTCGCCAAACTTGTTTGGGGCATATCTCTCTACTCGGGACTCAATTTTTGACTCCGTTTCTTCCGTTGTTCATATTTTCTCATTTTGAATCTTTTTCATTCACGAAGTTTTGTCATTTGAGCGCGTTTGCTCAAAATCCACTTTTCTAGACCCGGTGGGGCCCTTTCGGGGCACTTTTTGAGATTTTCTATAAATAGGGGACTTAAAGAAGAAAAGTCATATTTCCTTCTCTCTCTCCTCTCTCTTGGCTGGTAGTTGTGGCTGCCAAGGGGCTTCCATGCTTCTTCTTCTTTATCCGGCCACTTCCCTCAAGTGAAAACTCTTCGGCCTTAACGTTTAATACTTGTCTTGACGCCGCGCACCTTTCACCCTTATTAGAACCCATTTCTGACCATTTCTTGAGTTCGGGTTTGAAGTCAAGTTGTGATTTTCATGGGGTTTCCTTCGGATTCTTGTTCATCGTGTTGTCCCCGACAAAACCCTTCTGTATCGTCGGATTCGGAGCACTTTTATTTCGGTGGGCTTTTGAGATTTTCATCTCAAATTGAGGTAGGGGGTGTTATAATTTATTTTCTTATTATATAGCATGCTTGTGATGCTTATATACTTCATTTACATGTCTTTGTATCAAATCTAGAACCTTTAATTTATAATTTCTTTGTGTAAGATTTAATTTTCCCGGTTGTCCATAATTTGTTTTAAACATGTGGCACGATAGAATATTACCCTTTGATATGTTCATTGACATATATTAAATTGAGAGCTTTTGGACAAGTATTAAAGATTTTATTTAATATTTATCTTGGGTAAATATTTAATTCAAGTGGCCTTAACTAGTTTGAAATCATTGTGTGTTAGCATATTATATTAGGCCCTAGCATGCTCTTCAACATAGGTGAATTTGAGAATAATCGGAAGTGTTCTAAAATCTAGAGAATATTTAATTAATTGATTAATTAATTTATTCCATGTGTACTATTCGTCTCATTTGAATTCCGACTTGATATTCTTGATATGTATGATATATAGTTTCATATATATTAAATCTACAATATTTGATTGGTTTTGAAACTTTTCATTTATTATTTTTCTAATATTAAAGTTTAATACTCATGGCCGTGTCTTGCTTAGAATTCACTTGTATCATACTTTAGATTGAGATCATTTAGATGAATTTCAAAATCTGAAGATTTTAATTAAATGAATTAATTAAAATCCATTCAATGGCTCATTAGTCTTGATTAAGTTTCTAACTTGGTAATCATGCTTTCCTTGACAAGTTCCCTTACGTGGATCAATTTGAGAATAACCGGATAAGTTTTGAAATTTATATTTAATTATATCCTTTGTATGGAATTAAATTCACATGGTCGTGTCTTGTATGGAATGAACTTGTAACTTGACATTGAACTTGCCTTCGACATGACCCTTGACTTGTCTTGTCATCTTGACAATTTAATCCCTTAAGTAGATTAAATTTCCTTATATGCTTTTATCGCGTTAATCATGCTTTGATATTGAACTCGTGTTAACTTATGAATTGGACTTGTATTTCATATACTTTCATCTTTTTATCAAGCATCGTGAC